TCCTCCGTTGCCTTTGTTGTGATTGAAGGAATACCAGGAGGAACAACATACCACCAGGGTACTGGTTGGGGAGTTCGAGCCGGGCTAGGGGAGGGAACTCAGAGGGACAGGGTCAATAGGTGCAGCAAATCACCCATGGCACATGTACACCTATGTAACAAACCTGGCCGTTCTGGTGCATGTATTTCTGTGTTTTTTTTTAAGAAGGAAATAAAGAGCAAAATGTAAAACAATGGAAAAAATAGATAAATACAAGCCTGCATATTTGATAACTTCTTTCTTTATATTCATTTTTTTAGATTTTTCATTTCTATAGTATAGGTTTTGGGGGATCAACTGTTATTTGGTTACATGAGTAAGTTCTTTAGTGGTGATTCGTGAGATTTTGGTGCACCCATCACCTGAGCAGTATACACTGAAATAACTTATTTTAGCCAGTTATCTAATTTCTTACCTTGGCAGAGGAGCTGAATTTTAACTTTACACCTACAGGCAGATGAAGGTATTGCAGAAGATATATAGCCTGTACAATAAAATAAACATAATTTGCACACATGAGAACAGGAGAAAATATTTTATTACTTCTTTGAGCAAAGTATAGTTTTCTCTTTACAGAAATAAGTACACCAGGGCCTTAGTAAATGAATGACAGTTTTCAGTTTATTTCCAGATAAAAGTTGGTGATTTCTAATTATGGTTTTAATCAGTTTATTGATTTAACCTAAAACTCAAATGCTAAATCTCTTTGGATGTATTGGAATTACATAAGAAATATTTATGGAGCATTACTTTGAGAAAGTAGCAAAAAATAAATTCCAAGTGCATATGAAAAACCTGAGAACTTAAGTAACAAGCTCTGAAATCCTATGGTCCTGGAAGAGCAGAAGAAAATACACACTAAACCACAGAACAATGAAAAATACAGGATAAAGCAAAAGTAAAGCAGAGAGGAATGTAAATTTGTCACAAAACTGGACAAAGGATAATTTAGTAAGAGGTGCTCCATAAACACTTGCTGCTTGTTGTGGTGGTGGGAGGAAGATGCTGCTGGTAAAGAATAAGACATAGGTATTCAAGTAAAATTAGCTAAATGTCATACTAAGTATAGAGGGAATGGGGAAAAGATAGTATATAGTCTTAAAGAAACTTTTGAAAAAGTGAGAAAAATACAAGATTGAGTTAATCTCCTTTCTCTGTATCTAATCATCCTGTAAGTTCCATTAGTTCTACAAGTATTTCTCAATTCTGTCCCTCCGTTTTTGCTGGCATGGTCTACATCTAGGTCTCCACCATTTCCCATCTGCATTGCTTCAGTAACAGGTGTCTTGCTTCTGATCTTGGCCCCTCCATCCATTTTCCACACCTGCTGCCAGAGTTATATTTTGTTAATAAAATGAAAATCTGTTTTATTTTCTTTTTTAAACATCTTTAATATTTTCCTGTGAGTTTCAGGATAAAGTTAAAATAAGCAAACTTAGTCTACAGAGCTTTCTACAACCTAGTCCCTGCAAGGCTCTGATTTTTTTTTTTACATCCACCTGACTTTATAGCAATGCCTACCTGCTCTCTCATGTCTCTGTGCTTTGCATATGCTGTTCTAACTACATTGGATACTCCCTTCTCCCTTTCTCTATGTGACTAACCCTCACTCATCTTTCATATTTCAACAGAAGTACCACTTCCTTCAAGAAGCCTCCTTCCTTTAGAAAACATTTTTCTGTGTTTAATTTGTTGGTTTATTTGTCCATCTTCTTTGCTATCGAAGATGGGAACCATATTTCTCACTTCCTCGTCTAGTGTGTCTATCACAGTATATGGCATAGAGCCGGTACAAACAAATTCTTGCTGGAGAAAGAAAGAATGGAAAGAAGAGATGCAAAAATCAACTATGAAAGTTTGAGCAAAAATAATAATTCAAGATAATTCAAGACTGAAACCATCCTTTTGTTACTTAAAACCAGTAATTAGTCACATTTTCTGAATGATCACTTGATATGGTTTGGCTGTGTCCCCACCCAAATCTCATCTTGAATTGTAGCTCCCATAATTCCCACCTGTCATGGGAGGGACCCACTGGGAAGTAATTGAATCATGGGAGTGGGTCTTTCCTGTCTGTTCTCCTGATAGTGAATACATCTCACAAGATCTGACGGTTTTACAAAGGGGAGTTCACCTGCACATGCTGTCTTTCCTGCTGCCATGTAAGACATGACTTTGCTCCTCATTCACCTCCCACCATGATTGTGAGGCCTCCCCAGTTATGTGGAGCTGTGAGTCAATTGAACCTCTTTCCTTTATAGGTTGCCCATTTTAGCTAGTTTTTGTTGGCAGCGTGGGAACAGACTGATACAGTAAATTGAGTGTTGCCACAAAGGGCACCTGAGAATGTGGAAACAAATTTGGAACTGGGTGATAGGTGAAGGTTGAAACAGTGTGCAGGGCTCAGAAGATAGGAAAATGTGGGAAAATTTGGAACTTCCTAGAGAATTGGAGGGCTCAGAGGACAGAAAGATGTGGGAAAGTCTGGAACTTCCTAGAGACTTGTTGAAAGGCTTTGGCCAAAATGCTGGCAGTGATGTGGACAATAAAGTTCAGGCTGACATGGTCTCAGATGGAGATAAGGAACTTGTTGGGAACTGGAACAAAGGTGACTCTTGCTGTGCTTTAGCAAAGAGACTGGTGGCTTTTAGCCTCTGCCCTAGATATATGTGGAACTTTGAACTTGAGAGAGATGCTTTGGGATATCTGGTGGAAGAAATTTCTAGGTAACAAAACGTTCAAGAGGAAGTGAAGCATTAAAGTTTGGAAAATTTGCAGACTGACCATGCAAAGGAAAAGAAAAACCCATTTTCTGGGGAGAAATTCAAGCCTGCCACAGAAATTTGCATAAGTAATCAGGAGCCCAACGTGAATCACCAAGACAATGGAAAAAATGTCTCCAAGGCATGTTGGAGACCTTCCTGGCAGCCCCTCCATTGGAGGCCTGGAGGATTAGGAGGGAAAAATGGATTCCTGGGCCCCCCCTGCTGTGTGCAGCCTAGGGGCTTGGTGCTCTGCGGCTGCTCCAGCCATGGCTAGAGGGAGCCAAGGTACCATTCAGGCAGTGGCTTCGGAGAGTGCTGGCCCTGGGCCTTGGCAGTTTCCACACGGTGTTGGGCTTGCAGGTGCACAGAGGCCAGGAATTGGAGTTTGGGCGCCTCTTCCTGGATTTCAGAGGATGTGTGCAGATGCCTGGATATCCAGAGATTTGCTGCAGGGTCAGGGCCCTTGTGGAGGCCCTTACTGGGTCAGGGCCCAGTAAGGAGGGGAGATGTGAGGTTGGAACCCCCATGCAGAGTCCCCACTGAGACACTGGCTAGTAGAGTCATGGGAGGAGGGCTGCCATCCTGCAGACCCCAGAATGTGTATCTGCCAAAGGCTTGTGTGGTGCGGTGTGCCTGGAAAAACCTCAGATACTAAATGCCAGCCCATGAAATCAGTCAGGAGGGCGGCTGTACCCTGCAAAACCAGAGGGACAGAGCTGTCCCAGATTATGAGAACCCACCTCTTGCATCAGGGTGACCTGGATGTGAGACATGGAGTCAAAGGAGATCATTTTGGAGCTTTAAGATTTGACTGTCTCACTGAAATTCAGACTTGCATGGGGCCTGTAGCCCCTTCTTTTTGGTCAATTTCTCCCATTTGGAATAGCTGTATTTACCAAACGCCTGTACCCCTATTGTATCTAGGAAGTAACTAACTTGGTTTTGATTTTACAGGCTCCTAGGCACAAGGGACTTGCCTTGTCTCAGATGAAACTTTGGACTGCAGACTTTTGAGTTAATGCTGAAATGAGTTAAGATTTTGGGAAAGTGTTGGGAAGGCATGATTGGTTTTGAAATGAGAGGGCATAGATTTGGGAGGGGTCAAGAGTGGAATGATATGATTTGGCTGTGTCCCCACCCAAATCTCATCTTGAGTTGTAGCTCCCATATTTCCCATGTGTTGTGAGAGGGACCTGAGGGGAGGTAATTGAATCATGGGGGCAGGTCTTTCCCGTTCTGTTCTCATGATAGTGAATAAGTTTCATGAGATCTGATGGTTTTATAAAGGCGAGTTCCCTTGCACACACTCTCTTGCCTGCCACCATGTAAGACATGACTTTGCTCCTCATTCACCTTCCACCATGAAGTGTAAGGCTTCCCCAGACATATGGAACTATGAGTCAATTGAACCTCTTTTTTTTTATAGATTGCCCAGTCTCAGGTATGTCTTTGTTGGCAGTGAGGGAACAGACTAACACACTGCCCAGTTGATGGCTTTCCTGTAACAGACAGAACTAATTTTACATTTAGAATCAAAGCATGCAGAGTCCTGTTGAGATAGCAAACAAAACTAAAGATGAGTATTACAACCTTTTCTCACTTGGTAGAATTTAACACAATCTTGGAAACTCCAGGAAAAATAACAAATGAAAATGTTGCTCTCAAATCTGACCCTGCATTTCTTCAAAAGTAGAATACAGTCATCTTGGAGGAGCAGCTCAGGCTTGTAAGTTGGGTAGCTGTGGGTTTGAACCCTGACTGATACTAGGCAGTTGTATAATCTTCAAGACTCTATATCTGATCTTGTTTAGCCTCGGTTTTCTTATTTGTAAAACAGAGTAACATCTACTTGCAGTGCTGCTGCAAAAATTAGAGCTAAAGTGTGTCAGGTCACTATTTTTAGAATCATTACAAATCCCCAGAAGGCAAAGATGGTCCAAAGAAAGCCATTTACAGGATGCCTCGACTTTGAGTTTGTGGCTGGAATTTGGATCTAAGAGATAGGAATTATGTGTCCTCAAAAGCAGCAGATGGGCATGATAGAGCCCTAAGCAATTTTACTACAATCCTTTTGGAAACCTCTAATTGTTCTCTAAAGAGTTAACTTCAATTATCATTAGCCATCTGCTGAACCAATGGGATTTCCTCTGCAAGTGCCAGCAAGAATATTCCTGCCAGATAAAGAGAAAATGCTTTTGAAATAAAACTTGTAGAGCATAACTCACACGTAAATACTTTCAAAGTTAAGAGGAAACAGCCTGAGGCTAGAGCCATCATTAATATTCAGAATGCATAAAATATGCATGTTGTATGCTAAGAAAGAGTGAAATGTAAGCAGAGTTACCAGTGAAGGCTACATCATCTGAGTCTGTTTCAGAGTGATCTCTGGACAACACCATGATACCAGGGCCAGTGGGATTAAGGAAGACTATCTCCCAAGGCACCTGTTCATAAAAAGAAAAAGCAGGGTACCGTGGTCAGCCAATGGGATCAGGAAATTCAAGATACAGAACCTAGTACTTGTGCTACCCTTAGCTCATCACATAGCTACTGCCATATTGCAGAATTCGTTGGAACCAAGTGGAAAAATGACAGATGCTAAAAGAAGGGAATTTATAGAGATTTGGTGTAGCATTTTCCAGACTCACCTAATCATATAAATCATGCAGGGATTGTTGAAATAGAAAATTCTAAGCATTTCCCGGGAGGTTGAGTCAGAAAGTCTGGCATGGGGCCAAGGATTTTGCATTTTTTAAACCTTCCAGGTGATTCTTCTCATCAGGCAGGTTTGACATTGATGTAGTCCAGTGGTTCTTAAAGTATTGCCCCCAGATCAGCAGTATCAGCGTTACCTGGGAACTTCTTAAAAATGCAAGCTATTGGGACCCCACTCCAGACCTATGAATTGGCAACTATGGGGTGGAGTGGGAAGAGGGGACAGCAATCTGTGTTTTCGAAGCCCTCTGGTGATTATCATACATACTAAAATTTGAGATCTACATTTGTCAAATGTGGCCCAGAGAGCTGGAAGTGGGGAGTGTAGCCGCTGATTAGGAAATTCTCCTGGCCCAAATTCTCCTACGACTAAGAAGGTCATGATTTAAATCCAGATACTAACTGTTGCTTTTCCCTTGACTTCATTGTCTCTTTTTCTATTTTCTAAGGAGCAGTTTAATTGTGTGGCCCTTTTTAAATTTCCCGCTGATCAAGACCAATCCCCTTTCTCCTTGATAGCAAAGATTCTTTATTATTTTTCTCCTTGATCCTCTTGCATTTTTTGCTCCCATCTTAAAGACATCAGTAGAATGACATTGGTAGTATGGTTGAGGCTCACATTTCTGTCAAATGTGTTTTAATACTGGAATGTATCCAGAGATCTGCTGTAATATTTTTTAATGGGAAGTTTTAGCAAATCTTGTCCTCTTTACAAAGCCTCACTTTTTTTTTTCACCGTTTGGAAGGGCAAGGCAATGCTTAAAGATATTATCCATTTTAAAAATGGCCCTCATTTTGAAGGTTAGATTCTGGCATCAATGACATGCAAATATTCCCACTCAGTGTACAAAAGCAGAAATAAAAAGGGAGTCACTAATCAGCTAATGAGACAATTTTCTGGCACAACTCTGAAGAAAGTGTATTAGTGTTAATTTCTTTTGGTTGCCACCATGAAATACCATATGCTGAGTGGTTTAAGCAACAGAAATATAGTACCTCACAGTTCTGGAGGCCAGAAGTCCAGGATCAAGGTGTTGGCACTGTTGGTTTCTTCCATGAGCTGTGAGGGAAAAACCCGTTCCATCCCTTTCTTATAGCTTCTGGCGGTTTGCTAGCAAGCTTTGGAGTTTCTTGGCTTGTAGATGCATACCCATCTATGTTTTTAGGTTCTCGAAGTGTCCTCCCTGAGTATGTGTGTTCCCACTTTTTAAAGAACACCAATCATATTGATTTAGGGGACCATCCTACCTCATCTTAACTAATTATATCTACAATAACCTTATTTTCAAATAAGGTCACATTAGGCACCAGGAATTAGGACTCCAATATATGAATTTGAAAGGAGTGACAAAATCAACTCATATCAAGAAGGGTTGGTGGAGGGAGAAAACCAAATCTCAACTCCAAAATCCTAAAGACCTGACATGATGTTGTCTGTGGGACTTAAAGTGTTTAAAAATTGAATGAAAATCTCAATGACACATGTTGGCCCTGGCTACAATTAAGAAGTCTATAAAACATAGATGAAAAAAATTGAAGAGGGGCTGGGCATGGTGGCTCATGCCTGTAATCCCAGCACTTTGGGAGGCTGAGGCGGGTGTATCATTTGAGGTCAGGAGTTCAAAACCAACCTGGCCAATATAGTGAAACCCTGTCTCTACTAAAAGTACAAAAATTAGTCAAGCATAGTGGTGGATGCCTGTAATCACAGCTACTCAGGAGGCTGAGGCAGGAGAATCGTTTGAGTCTGGGAGGTGGAGGTTGCAATGAGCCAAGATCTTGCCACTGCACTCCAGCAGCCTGGGTAACGGACTGAGACTCCATCTAAAAAAAGAAAAAAAAAATTGAAGAGGACACAAATAAATTGAAAGATATTCTCTGTTCATGGATTGGAAAAATTAATCAGTAAAATTTCCATATTACCCCAATCTGCAGATTCAATGCAATTCTTATCAAAATACTAGTGACATTCCTCACAGATATAGAAAAAACAATTTTAAAATGTATATGGAACCACAGAAGACCCAGATAGCCACAGCAATTCTGAGCAAAAAAGACAAAGCTGGATGTATCACACTGTCTGACTTCAAAATATACTACAAAGCTCTAGTAACCAACACAGAATAATACTGGCATAAAAATGGACACATAGACCAATGGAAAAGAGAACCAAGAAATAAATCCATGCATTTACAGCCAACTGATTTTTGACAAAGATGCCAAGAACATACATTGGGGAAGGGACAATCTCTTCAATAAATGGTGCTGAAAAAAATGGATAGCCATATGCAGAAGCATGAAACTAGATCCCCATCTCTCACAATATACAAAAATCAACTCTAAACAGATTAAAGACTTAAACATAAGATCCAAACTATGAAACTACTACGCAAAAGATAGAGGAAATGCTTCTTGAATTTGAGCTGGAAAAGGACTTTTTGAATAAAACTTCAAAAGCATTGGCAAAAAAAGCTAAAATAGACAAATAAGATTACATACAATTAAAAAGCTTCTGTACAGCAAAGGAAATAATCAATGAAGTGAAAAGAAAATCTACAGAATGAGAAATATTTGCAAACTATGCATCTGATAATAAATTAATATCCAGATTATATATAAAACTCAAACAACTCAACAGCCAAAAACCAAAAAATCAGGTAAAAAATGGCAAAAGACCTGAATAGACATTTTTTCACAAGAATACATACAAATAACCAACAGATATATTTAAAAATGCAAAACTTCACTAATCACCTGAGGAATGCACATCAAAACCACAATGATACCACCTCACCGCAGTTAAAATAGCTTTTTTCAAAAAGAGAAATAATGCTGGCAGAGAAAAGAGAACTCTCACACATGATTGGCAGAAATACAAGGTAATACAGTCATTATGGAAAACTGTATAAAGGTTCCTTTAAAAACTAGAAATAGACTACCATTTGGCATACATCAAAGAAAATGAAATCAGTGTGTTGATGATATATCTGCACACCCATGTTTATTATAGTGCTATTCACAGTAGTCAAGATACGGAATAAATCTAGATGATCATCTACAGATGAATGGATTAAAAAGAGTTACACACACACACACACACATACAATAGAATACTATTTAACCATAACACAGAGTGAAATCATGTCATTTGAAGCAATGCAGATGAACCTGGGGGACATTATATTAAGTGAAATAAACTAGACACAGAAAGACAAACACTGCATAATCTCACTCATGTGAAATCTAAAAGCATTGATTTCAAAGAAATAGAGAGTAGAATAGTGGCTACCAAAGGCTGGAAGTGGGGGCAACAAAAGGTTGGTCAATTGCTACCATGTTAAATTATACAGGAAGAATAAGTTTTGGTGTTGTATTACACAATATGGTGACTATAGAAAATAACATTGTACTACATATTCAAGATAGCTAGAAGATTTTGAAGGTTGTCACCACAAAGAAATGTCTAAAATGATGGATATAATAACTACTCCAATTTGATTAGTACACTATGTATATGTGCCTCAAAACATCACATTGTATCCCCAAAATATGTAATATTATTGTGTCAATTATAAATTTAAAAATAAATTTTAAAAAGGAAGAGAATTCAAATGGTCAGATTTCTGACCTTGTATTATCTGGAAGATTTCCCCGCAAAAAATAAATAGTACAAAGTTTTTAAAGCACATGGTGGGAAAAATATTTATGTTGTACATAACAGATTTTAAATGATCAAATTAAATGAAAGTGAAATTGCTCTATTTATATTGGAGAGGATGAAATGTTGTAGGAATGCCTGCAGTTACGTTATCAACTCAGGTTGACTTCACTGCTTTGAATAGTCAAATTTTTCCCTGGTAGTTTCCAAATCAGAGCAATATACTCATTTAGGGGTTGAAGTTTGAAAGGAAATCAGATGACGCCCATTTAAAAGATGATTAAGGTTTACATAATTCTTTGGACAAGGGGACATTCGAACAGATGTATGATGCTATTACTGAAAACAGAGAGTAATGGTGTCTCACTGTTGCCTTCTTGATTCAGACTTTCTTATTTGGGGATTTTAATTTACCTTTCTGTCCTGTACACAGACAAACCTTCAAAAGAGTATAACAAACAGCTTTACTTCTATTATCATTATTATTATTAAGACAGAGTCTTGTTTTGCCACCTAGGCTGGAGTGCAGTGGCAAGATCTCAGCTCACAGCAACCTCCGACTCTCCGGCTCAAGCGATTCTCCTGCCTCGACCTCCCAAGTAGCTGAGATTACAGTCATGGGCCACCACACCTGCCTAATTTTTGTATTTTTTAGTTAAGATGGGGTTTCACCATGTTGGCCAGGCTGTTCTCGAACCCCTGGCCTCAAGTGATCTGCCCACTTCCGCTTCCCAAAGTGTTGGGATTACAGGTATGAGTCACCACGCCAGGCCTATATTTACTAACAAAAGTTTCACCTTGAGTTTGGGTCAACTGCCTCTGCTGGTCTCTTGACTCCACAGTCCAGTTGTTGGCACCAATTTATCTTGGTGCTTTGGAAGCCTGTAAAGGCAGTTCATGATCATTCAGAACATTCTTCAGTGTTGTTTCTAATGCATGTATTGTTAGTCTTATCCTGACCTTTACATTGTGCCAGTAAAGTTCCATTGATTGTACTTTTTCATCACTGTATTTGTGTACCCACGTCCCACTTTTTAAAGGAAAAGTCATGGTTGAAAGACATGTGCTTGTGTTCTAAGAAGTGATGCAACTGTTTTTGGAAAAAAAAAAATGGAACTTTAAGCATATTTCTAAAGTTCTTTTTGTATCAACACTTCTTGCTGTGTTTTCCCAGTCGCTGTGGTATTTGACAAACACCCAGCTGACACTAATCTGGTACACAGCTGAACAAATCATTTTCTTAAAATGGTTCCCCCAAAAGGCTAATTATAAATATAAATGCCTGTAATTACTTAGATTACCTGTCTATATACAAATTATTGTAGGAAATATAGAGGAAACTGCATTTGTATGATCCACTCAACAACATTCACGATATCCTGTAATGAGTTCACACTTCAACTTCACTCAGACTTCACAATTATACAAGAAATTAACTCTCTCTCATGGTGGAGATAGTTGCCCAAACCTGTAGTGGTTCTCCTCTGCAGTGAGGTTGGAAATAACTACTTGAGATGCCATAGACAGCCAAAGTCCAGTTAAGATCAGTCCTAGACTGGGTGATGAAAAATTTCTTTAGGTCTTTCAGTTTACGTTAGGCATCTGGTTGGTTGTCTTTAAAAAAAAGTATAATTGTGCATAGTGATGGGATTAGTGGCCCTAGAATATATTTCTGTAACAATTCCACCCTTGAATGAATGATAAAATCAAATAGGGCCAAATATATTTCAAGCAAGAAGTTCTGCTTTAAGAACTAATGACCAATTTCTAGTGATATTATTAGAAGTGTTATAAAATGTTTTTTATTTTCTGTATTTCTATTGGGGAAAGAGGATAAGAGCAGGATGGATAACTCCAAGCGCTTCCAATCTCTACTAACGGAACAATATCAGATCATGCAGGAAGGAACATGTCTCCATCTGATTTTAGTATTATTTTTCTTAGTAGGATTTTTATCCGCTCTCCCTTCCTCCTTGCCTTCCTTCCCTTCTTCCTTTCCTCCATCTTTCTTCTCGTCTCTCACTTTCTCGCTTTGAATACTTACCAGGTGAATAAAATCCACTTGATTGCGCATTACCTGAGAATAAAAATCAGGTTATTTCTAGAATGATGAGACTCTATCTGATGCAAGGAGAAAAGGGAAGTAAACTTTTTTAAAGTTTACAATCTATAAGTGCTTTATATCCACTATGTCATGTAATAGCCAACACCTTTCTATGACATTGTTATTATAAACTTTCATTTCAGAGATGAGAAGCTTGAGGCTCATCTCTAAATTATGGCTTAATTAACTTACTTCCTCAAGGCCTATAGATTTATGTTGTGTTATTAGAATTTAAATCCAGGTTTGTCTGGCTACAAATTCTGTATTTCCACTGTAAGTTTCAAAACATTTTCATTGTTTACAACTGACTGCAAATATCCTGATGTTAGAAATTATGTTAGCCTAAAGAAAATAATTATAGTTTCTTAAAGAAATGATGAGACTAAAATCTTAGCTTTCTCCTCTAGTCTTTTCTTTTTTCATAAAGGTAGAGATTACAATTCTCTGAAACTGTGGGTATTATTTTTAGCCAGAAAACATGGCAATATAGAATACCTTACTTTAATTTCATTTTCAATAGTAAATTTGTAGTTTCTTTTTTTAACCGTCATGTGTTTTTTCTTCCTTTTAGTTGTTAAATGTAGAAAACAGAATTTAAAATTCCCAACTATATAACAAAAAAAGAAATATTTGTATTACATGATAGCAAAATGCCATCACGAGACCCTATTGAATTTGCTTTCTCACACAGAGAAAAAGTAATAGTGAAACGGGAAAAATGGGTATTAGACTTGAAATTAGAGCTACTGGTTTTGGAATACAGACTCTTCCATTTATCTTATACGTGAATTTGGGTAAATGATTTAAAACCTTTAAGCTTCAG